CCTTCTATTAACCGTTTTCTAAGAATATTACGTTTTTTTCTTTCTTTTTAATCACCGATAGCATTGATGTCGGTAGCGCATGCCACGCGACACCGTTGATCTATAGTACCCCCTTCTATTAACCGTTTTCTAAGAATATTACGTTTTTCTTTCTTTTTAGTCACCGACTGATGTAAGACCTGCAAAAACCTCGGGAGGTGTCAGGGATCGAACCATGGGCTAGTGACTACCAAAACGCATCGCTAGTCACTTGGCCATCGTGGCGACAGCGGGGGAAAGTAAAATCTAGCTTATGAATTCCCGAAATTCGTTTGTAATGAATTTTCGGATATAACTCACGATCTCTTGAAGGGAAACTCTCCATACGAAGACTTGCTATAATGGGAATGATTTTTTTCATCTTGGAAGAGGCGGAATTTATATAATTATTAATTACTCAATATTATTTATATTGATCGAATTCGATCTATATTTGACGATATATTTGAGTGAATTAGTCGGTGATGATAACTTATGTTTCAAATATGTATTTCATATCCATTGTGTTACATGATTTTTCTCACTTGCATGAAACTTATTTTACTGAGTGGGGTAAACGAGTTGTAAGATCAACTAAATAGGACTCACATTTTGCTTGCAGGGTAAATAAAACATGGTAATGAATCAGTGAGTGTACTGAAATGATTTTTCACACTCGATGACAAAGTAAAATGCATGATTTTTCATCAAGAATGCAGTGCACACTACCACATCTGCTGTGGCAGTCAGCAATGCAGTGAGAGGATCGGGGAATCCCGTTGGAGGTTGACCTTGACGTGCTTCGTCCAACATCCCTGACTGCTTGCATAGGGCTGCTGATGATCTCACTTCCACTGTTCGGCTAAATCAGGATGATTTTTGAATATGTTATTTATCTGCTTCTGCTTCCTGAATAGTTCATACATATTGACACGTCCATGAGTTTCCGATATTTATAGTCAAGCTTTCCCAACCATCGGAGGCGATTGCCGTGTGAAATACTTATATCAAACTGCTCGGATAAAACAGTTTTGAGGGATGTTTTGATCCCTTCACATATTTGCTTATTCCGATGTTTTTCGCAGAAACGATCCAGAAAATGTCCAAACACAATTTTAGTTCTCAAGAAACTGTTTTTTTCTGATTTTACTGCGCTCTTTGCTTTGGATAAAAATTTCAGTAGTTCATCATAATCATCACATATATCATCAGGTTGATCAGGAGGTGGTATTTTATTCTCAATCTTGTTCTTCATCAACCATGCGTTCGTTTCTTCCGGCTTTTCTATATTTCTTCGTTTCACTCTTTTCCCTACATTGAAAAGATTTTTCGTGTACGGTTTAAGCGGTTTGGCAATTGCAATTGCATCTTTGATGATCAAATCTCGAATTTCTTCATATTTTTCTTCATTCGATAGAGCTTCATCAATCACACACTCAATGAGCTTCAGTTCTTCCTTAGCTTTTTTCAACGTATCAATTTGCTGCTTTGATAGCGTGCTCATTATGTACTTATTCTTCCGTACGAGATCAATAAGTAGGGATTGCCTTCTGAAATATCCTCACTCGACAGGAGTTCAGTGCTTAATGTATAACAGAGCAGCTAGCGGTCAAGGGTAAATACAGTATTTTTTAGAACACTCTCGATATTAGCGCGCTATGCATCCTACCTCTGCGAGACCGGTCCTGCATCTGGAGCGAGTTTTTGTGGAGGATAATTTAAGTGTGCCTTTAGCTACCAGCCGATGTGCACCATGAAAAAAAAACTGACTCAAGGTTTCAAGCTGGTTTGACCCAAATGACTCAAGCCTGGTAAATGACTCAAATGACTCAATCGGGGTAAATGATCGTTAACCCATGATTTCGGAGGTAATTGGTTAATTTTGTTGGGCAAGATTCATGATCAGTAGACTGTTTATACAAATTTGGGGGTAATTGGTTAATTTTGTTGGGTAAGATTCGGGGTAAATGATTGTGGTGACCTATGATTTAAGCTGTTTATGGAAAGTGTGACGATACACCCTTTTGCTAGCTACTGTTAAATACATCCGGTCCATTTGCAGACAGCGATGTACTTGATTACAGCGGCCTATCGATGGTACGTTCTAAAGAATTAAAATTTATTTAAATAATAAATGTTTAAGTAAAATTAGTTGACTGTTGATTAACGTAATGAAATTTAATGGAAGATCACAATTATAATTAGCAAACCAAGCTTCACCTTGAGTGACGGATTTCCGCTTAGTAAATAATATAAATAATTTGTGAAAATAATAAATAATTGTTTAACATAATAAATGAGCAAAAAATAAAGTCAATAATATCTATAATTTGTTATTCAATTATTAATTAAAAACTGACTGCCTAAAAAAGTTCAATTATCTTAATATTTACCTGGAATTCGACAGTTAGTACAAGATCATGTGCGTTAAGAATACTTGAACAGAAGCATAAAAATGGTCGATCTAACTATTTTCTATACTCGATATTCTATATATTATAATTTGGTTCATAACGTGAAATTTATAAATGGAAGGTTTTATTTGTTGTGATACGCGCTAGCAAATGGCAGCTATTATACATGACCAATGAAGGTTTAGAGTTGACTTCTTGTATTTGGTCTTATAAATATTTTCTTGCCCTGAAGTCTGTTCCTTTCTTTTGTGCGATTTTATTTGCTACTAAATATAATTTTGTTAATAGCGATATCCTGTTGCAAAAATTGTTGAGATTTTATTTCCTATTAAATATATGCTTAAGCTATCATTGTGTTTTATATTGTTTTCTTGGTGCACGGAGATTTATTTATTCACTTCTAAATGTAATCTCACCTAAAGGTATCACTGTCCTGCGATATTATTGTAGTGAAACACTCGTTCCTGTAGTGTTAATAAACTGTAAATGATGATTCTTTGAAACAATGCAGTTCATTATGTTGGGGCGAGTTTAACAAATATATAACAATCCAGTAACTATAGTATAAATGCATAGTTTAAAACAGATTTAACATTTTTCCCTCAAGTAATTTTTATAAGAACCTTTTCAATTTGATAGGGAAAAAAAACTACAAATTTGTTATGTTGAACTCATCTTCAATTAACATATTCGCGCTCTACTGTATAAACAGCACAAAACTACGATTATTTATACGATTTGAACTTGAATTCAGTTCCGTAGCACCCAGTTTCTGTACAAATATATGACTGGATAATCGCGAATGGTTCTTTACCAAGTAACTGATAATATAACATGAACTCAATTAAAATTTAATATTTTAATTATAGTTACAATCTTCCATTTAAGAGGTCAATAAAAAAATTTTTTCAAATATGTGCTGCCTTGTTCAACCATAAATACATCCTGATATTGCACATACTTCGTCGTGAGGAATCACATCAATAGTCACAAACTTAATAAATACTGTTCGTAGAGTCACGAATTTTTAAAATAAATAATACAACATACAATTTGTGACTCGAACATCATATTAATATCAAGAAATACAATTTAGCAGTGAGTAGCTCTCATAAATTACAAACCATATGGCCGCTAAAAATCGATTCACGAATTAGAATGCTACAGTGTCGGCAGTGCGGATGATGGAATCATTCCAGAGTTGAGGTTGAAATTGATCCAGTAGCATTCATTATCAATTTTTGACGATGGAATTTGATCAGAATTGGGAATAGCGGAACAGATTCCGAATTTTACCTGATGGAATCGACATGAATTGAATGAAAGGATTAAATTGGGAATCTGAGACGAAGGAATTAGTTGCATGATGTTGAATTGATTCGATAATTGGATGCAATTGAATCCACAGCTATCCATTTCATCGTCATCCTTTATTGACTTGAATAATTTCAAGCATAATATTAAAGAAGGAAAGTAAGCAGTACAAAAAAGAGCAATGCACGCAAAAAAAAAATTTGTCTAATTCTCAAATGGTTCGTATGAGTGAGGTAACGTTACCGTTATTAACATCCATCGTCTGATGGCCATGAGATTAGATAACAATTTTCTTATAAATAATGGATTACTATTGGAATGTTATGCGACACATTTATGGGCCTGATTACAAATATGAATATTTTTATGAAATGCACTTCCCATTCGCAACTCGAGTTTTTATGTCTTTAGCCCACCACGCATGCAGAATATCAACAGTAACAATAGAAAAATGCTCATCTAGATGTAACTCATCTAGATGCACTCATTCTCAGTATGAGTGCAATGTACATAGGCATACAATACACACAGGAATATCAATAAAATAAATGCAGGTGGTCAAACAAATATATATTCATAAATGTAATAGATTTCAATTCAAGTGGAATATGTCGGATAATCAACGCACTCGACTGCATTTTATGCGATTAGTTCCAAGTATTGTAGCCACTCTGCCGAGACTTAGGCTGGAACAGTACGTTAATTGTACAAAGAGGCAGATCTGTTGGACCCTACAAGTCGCCCCGATTGGTTTAAATATCGGAGGATAAAATGTTTATTATTATAAGATGAGCAACTGATCAAAACCCTTGTCTATTTGGTAGACTTGCGCATTTTATCGTATTCATGACCCAGAGCCGGGTATTGAGTACATCATAACTCTGGTTAATGAACAATTTTGTATATATATCAGTGAATTTATTTTTAACCCTCTACCGCCTGACATGAGTAACCGGAGCAATATTGTCACAAGCCTATTTCCCTAATAGTATACGTTCTAGTGAGCGCAAAATGACTTGCACTGATGGCTGCTGCCACGTACGATAACTTTGAAATGTTCTCTGTTGCGTACATAACTCCTCAGGCTGCTACAAACAATAGTTTACGTTTAATTGTATGTCCCGGAGAGTGACATATGTCGCTAAGGAGGCTTGGTTAAGTTCTTTTTTATCCGCATAGCGTTAAAAATATTCTATTCTCGTTGATATTTTGGGTTATTCAGGCGTATACTAGGACTTCAACATTTTATTTTCTATTGTACATGATAATTTTATAGAACAAATTTGACCAACGAACTTTAATTTGACCAACGACCACCCCATCCCGGCAGCTGCCTTTTTTGAAAGCCAGCGAGAACGGCCGCTTAATTCAATTAAAATGAGCGTACAGCTGAACAATGTCCATATTTTAAACCTGTGCTTTATAACAAATAATAATATGGTAATAATGTATTTGGTAAAGATGATCAAACAATCAATATTATTTGTTCCTAATCTGTCATTGCTGTAGACTCATAACAAATGACAGTTAAACCAAGCATTGTTAGGATCATGAGCATTAACTACTCTTAGGTGGAACTAGAAGAAAGTTACTTGGTGGAAGTGAAGGAAGAGGTGCTAAGGGTGGAAGTCAAGGTGCAGGTTTCAGTGGTAAATGTCATGGAGCAGGATACAATGGAGGAAGTAAAGTCGACCAAAGTTACGATCCACTGTCAAAACTTTCAGGATCCAAGTCCAAGCTTTACGGTCGAGACTTTAGTTTCGAGCTCAAGACTCTTTCTGGCTTTCATGTAGATAAAATAATAACGTGATCAAGAAAATTCTGACATGAATAAATATCAAATTGGATAAGCTATTGCTATGAGAAATAAATGAATACTTATAATTAAATCATGGTTCGCATTGGATATATTTTAGTTAATATTTACCTATGAAAATTTATCCGCCACCAGCCTACATAACACGCGCGTGACTCGACGAATTTTTGTAAGCATGGCTTCATCGATCAATAATATTTTGATAATGCTTAACTGTCAATATGGTGACCAAATGTAACTTAAATGCAGCTTTTCTAAATGCCACCAAAAATTAATTTTCACTAATAAATAAAATAATAATTTTAGTTGATGCATTCGACTCGGAGAGGAGCACGTAAATAAACATTTTATCTAACGATTAGTTTACTTTTTCTAGATATTTGCTAGATAATAAGATTTAAAATGCTCCTAAACCTAAAAATTGTGTTTTGGTACTTTAATAATATTGTTTATTACATTCAAGAAGTAGGAAGTGTTCCTGGCACAACTCATCAGGCGGTGAGTGATGCATTTATAATATTTATCCAGCGCAAGATCCTTTATTGTATCCTTAATTTACAATGAAGTTCCATACCGCTAATAAAAAGTATTTAGGAAACTTTCACTCGCTTAGTATAGACGATAATTATATATGTACTCCTTATCTGCCAAAAAATGTTGAAAACTTGCTCAAAAATAACTTCCCTGTTTATTTTCAAACTCAAATGCTTTTTTAAAACATTTCATTCCAGACTATTAGGTGGACTTTACACCTCTATACATGCAACTATGGAATTGTATAAGTTGACCCCAAATAGTTATTTTATTTTTATCAAAAATTTATCTTAGTCCTTCAACGATGACGTACATCTTCATTTTTAACGCATTTTCTCATTTATCTAAAAAATACACTATTCTTCTCGCCATGTCCGTCTGTCCGTCCGTCTGTCTGTCTGTCCGTCCGTGACAATCTTTGTCACTTTAACTCTTCTTGTGGTGAAATTATATTTTATTGGTTTATGTAGAGTGTAGGTTTCCTGCGATTCCAACCAATTTGTCACCTGCTTTCGGGATAGACCACTCCTACGAACAAGTTCATTTGTCCCGACGTAGCCGGTTTTAGGATCGTAATATATTTGATTTAGAATTTTACCACTCACTTCTGTGAGTGGACTAATTTTGTTGGGTAAGATTTGAGGGTAATTGTTCGTAATAATATTGAAGGATCAGGGGTAATTGGTTAACTTTGTTGGGTAAGATTTGGGGTAACCTATGATTTAAGCTGTTTATGGAAAGTGTGACGATACACCCCTTTTGCTAGCTACTCCTATATATAGCTACAGCGTAGCGTGCATGGGACTGCTCAGTCCGAAACATACTATAAGGATACAATGATATAGCCCGTGAATTATGAAGTAACCTCGAAATTTGATGTAATACGCGTGTCGTGATGCGATTTGCATATTTCACGAATTCATACTCGCAGCATTGTGTTAACAGCAGATGACGGTGTAAAACGTGCATTATATGAAACGCGAGGCTGAGTTTAAGAGGAGTTCTATGATGTTGAATTACTTCACACACTGCATCAGCAATTATTGTAGTCATGTAGTCTTCCTATAAAACATTCCCTTGTGTCTTTTTATTCCAATTATATCTATGATGTTTCTTGCTCCTATTTAAATCACATCGTCAACTACTGGCAGTAGCCAGAAATGCTCTTTGGGGGGACTGTGGAGTCCTTGCGCTTCGTGATGGTGTTGCATCCTCTGATCCTCTTACTAGTGCGGACTTTCAATAGATGGCTTGGATTTTGAGAGGATCAGGTTGTCATCAATTTTTAATTATGGAATTTGTATTAATTTTAATCATCAGATTTTCATAATCTTTATATCATCAGTGAAATGCTCATAACTTGAACTGTTCTACTACTGCGTTGTTGTTAACTTTACCTGCCATAATTTCCCTCTCTATTCCATTTCATTGATTATTCATACAGTTTGGTCATGTAATGGGGAGCTAATAATTTCTTTTTGTGTCCATTAATGGCTCATGGGTAAGATAAATTTAGGTTTCTGCAACTGAATCCAGGTGCTATTAAGTCATAAATGTGTTGCACTGTTGCATAATGAAAATTAGTGCATTCTCCACAATGAATAGCGGTTATGATCTTAAAACGAACACGTACGATCGATTATAATTTTAAGTGCGCCATGTTTCTGGCCATCTCAATGGTATATTTTATATTACGCTCCCTAACTAATGACAGTGTGCTGGCCATTTGAAACATGCCGTTGAGTAATCTTTTACGATAGTTGAACTATATAGATTTCTTTTGATGTTCTTTTAATATTTGGCCACCACTTTCCCTCTAACACCTATAAAAATTTGGCCAATTTCTTCAAAAGTTTAATCTTTGTCATAAAATTAATGATATATTCGGCTTTGAATATCTGTTGTTGACTAAAATGAAACGTTTATTTGGTGACCAAAATGGAAAATATTTGGTGTAAGGCTCAACGCAGTATTTTCACCAGCAAGCAAGATGTTTGATTTATCATACAGCTCATTGTCTTTAGTCTGTGCGTTCAGTGAACGCGTCTCCTGACTCTGACTTGGATATCTTGCTGCGTTTTTCTCAGTGTATTTTTGGGTCGTTGCTTAGTTAACCCACAAATGGCATTCTCACCAGGATGCAAGTTCATTGTATTAGGAACTGCCATCTCAATTTTAACGATGACCTTTAGTTCTTCGATATTGCGTGAACTTTTTATCGATGTTAAAAACTTTTTAGCAAATAATTAATCCGAATTATGATTGGCGGATGAATGTCCGAAGTCGCAACTTGAGTTTGTGGGTTGCATATGGGCGTTTAGTGGCTTTCTTGTGCCTTGGCCTTGGGAGAATGTAGAGATCAGCAGGCCAACACGTTCAGAATGGATCTCGTTAACTTGTGCTATATTTTAAGTAGTGTTCATTTAATTGAAAGCAGTTACGATTCGGTCAAAATGTTTCAAGTGGATGACATCGATGCTTGGTAGTGACAGCAGCATTTTTAATATTTTACACGTGTTTCAGAGGCCGGGTGGGGAGGAGGTAACCTGATTTAATATAATAACCCGGCAACGTTGTAGCACCAGCAAACGTAAGGTTCTTCAGTTCACTTGTCTTTTATTGGCAATCCGTTGTGCCAACCCGTGTCTGTCGTTTCCGGTTTGGTAGAACTCAATTAGCACAAAGCCTAATGAACCCACGGGGTAGAATCAAGTCTACACAGCCTGATGCTACGAGGCAATATCTATGATACGTGAGCAATTTACCTATTAAACATAACTAACATCTTTCACGCACTTGCTTTTTTATCCTATAACTACATTATCTCACCCTTGGTATTCGGTAAACCTGAAATGTACTCGGCAACGCTCTAGTGTAATAATGCATTGGACAGCAACAAATGGGTATCTCTGTATTCAGCTCTGAATGAAGGTTATTTATTCAGCTCAGCGGACAGCTCGTTCAATCTCAATCCGTTTATTTTAGAGCTCAAATAGCTTATAGAGCCGCTTCTTACGATATACGAGTTACAAGAAATAAACTCGATAAAATTACGATGTTTGGAAGACGTTACGATCATGTTAATTGAGGTTTACAAACATTCCTACGTAACTAAATAATAACTCCTTTTATAAAATTTCCGTACTAGAAGGATAAGGAAACGAGAAGAGATAGCTAAACAAGTTTTAAACATGACTTCCTGCGTGCGTCAGAAAGAGCTTTATTCACTTTGTTATTTAGCTTCACAGCCTTCTCGGTAATAAACTAATGATAAACGTACAACAATACTTCACATGTTACTTCTTAAATCACACAGGTGCAACTTATTTAACTAATACACAGAGGGATTCTGAGGTGGATTTTGCTTCATACAGAAAGGCAGTTGTATCTCCGTTCTGCACACAATCTGCTCCGAAGAATAATTTTTTATTACTGGCTAGCAATATCCGGATAATCCCTTAGTCGACGCAGAACCCGTAAGCAATCTAGAAAAAAATCCAAATGACCGAACATATGACGCAGTTCATATGTGTAAAGATCCACGTAAAAGATGCGCTATTTTCAATCCCGAACGGTCCACCGTACATTCAATCGGAAAATTTTCCACATGACCGGGTGGTTCAGAGTAATTGGATGCAGCTGGATGTGGTCTGCCGTTGACGTGTGTAAATATTCACGGAAAAAAATACAGGAAATTAACAGTTTAATTAACAGCTACATCCAAAAGAGCGCAAATTGATAGATAATGATTGTATCATTACCTATCTCAGTATAAAGAATTAGGCAAAAGGCGATTCTCCGAAGCGTTTTCAAGTTGATAGGATAAGTCATCGCGTGAGAAATTGAACGTTTACGTTACAAAGTAAAGTGAATATCCACATGAAATAAAGATGCTAATTTTCATTCTAACCCATAAATGGTAAACCAAGTATCAAAGTTATACTATTAATATTAACTTATTTCGTAAAACGCAAGTCCACACAGCATAACGAATTTATTCCATATTTTCGACACAGAAACCTCAGATCCCTCAGTCGGAGTATGACGACGGCCGGCCACCCTGCACCTCAGCCTATGCAGCATGAGAAGACGTCGCCCCCAAAGCTCTTTGTTCCCTAAGCGCCCGTGGAACAAAGTCACCGCTCTGACTCCCAAGAATCTTCTTAATCTCGGCGTTGAAAATACGTCGTGGAGTGCCACTATGAGACGTCAACTCCAGTGCGGCTGTACGCGAAAGGATGGATAGTTAAACGGTACCTGTAGACCGAATCTACATAATTTAGAATTGGCAGATAAAGAAAAGGTACGCTAATGGATGGTTGATATATTCCAACTCAATAGTAAACACTGAAATGATTCGTGCATCCGCGTTGCAATTCTCCGCGTACTGAAACGAAAAGGAAGCGTCAAGCTTTTCCAGAATGAGAAGCGTGACGGAGAGGTTGAGAACTTGGCAGTGTGGGCACAAGTCCCAATACCTGTTGTCTAAGCAGTGGTGGGGGCTTGAATGATGCAGAGGGCTGCGAAGGCTGGGTACCGGTAGCGCAAATGCTAAAATTGTTTCCCTATCGAATCAAGGTGTTCCTTTAAAAGAATATTTCATAGGAGCTGGTTCATGGGCGGACATGACTTGTGGTTGTGTACAGTACATCCGATACATGCATCCAGTACATGCTCTGTTTTGAATTGTGATTGAAATAATAGGAACCAAGGCAGGCTTGTACTGGAGTCTTAAACAAAGGTCGTTAAAGAAACTCCCAGGAGACAAGCTTTAGCTTTAAAATTAAAATACAGAGAAAATAATTTGTTTGGCATAAACTCAAACGCTTAAACGCCGGCACTACCATCTAATAACCCTCCCTCACAGCTTTTTCTTATTAATGTAGCTTTCTCCCAATAAACACAAACCACTGTGACTTACGAGCTCAAAATGGTTAGAAAATAATAAACTCAGTAAATGCACAAATATCTTTTTCGTTTACTGGGACCAACTTACCGAGTAAGACGTTACAGACAAGGTGGTTTTTAAAGCAACTTTGCTCTTTAAATCATCCCTTGCTGCGTCATTGAATGAGAATTGATTCAGAAGTGAACGCGTCATGAGGGTTTTGATCATCGCCTTCAGAGTGACACCAACGGCGTCATATTCTTCACAGCGGAGTCTCTCCACCTGTGGCATATAGAGTATTTAAAGAATGTAAATATTCTTGATTTGAGCCCCTCCATAGTGACAGCCCCTCCCGTCCCACGCCCTATTTATTATATTGACTAAAGCAACAGTTGATCTTTCGTGGTGGGTTGCCACGGTGATCTAATTGAAATTCAATTAAGTAGCAACTTTTCAATACGTATTCATACTATAAGTAACATAAATAAGGTTTGTATTCCAAATTATTTCAATGAATTTTACTAACTATGTGATCTGTGGTCAAGAGTACGTCGAGTTCATCCAAGTTGGAAGCTGGTGCAAAGCATGGCAAAGTTATGTCGTGACTGTAGACTTTCCTCCTCTCTCTCAGTTCTTTCACGTGAGAGTAGTTGAACAAAGCTGTGTTGATTATTTCTTCTAAGCTCTCCATGATGAATTTCTGGTTGACTTCTAGTTCATCGAGGCGATGCATCACGGCTCGGTCTGGAGTTGGATGAACTGAAGTCTCGCGGTCCCTACTAATTTTAAATAGGCTTTGAACTTAATAAAAAGTGACGCAAATTAAGTGACGTGGCCTTAATAAAAAGTGACGCAAGGCCACGTTGGGCGACGCTCCAACGTGGCCTTGCTTAGTGCATACAAAAAAATCCACAAATTCTAAATCCCAATTTTTCGACAAATTCCAGGTGCTCCCAAATGAAGTTGAAGAGAAGAAGCGTGTGAAACTAATACTAAGTGGTTGGTATCTAACTAAATATCAATCTTTTCCTTGTGAATGGTAACTTTGGTTACCAAAATGGTAGGTAAAAATAGCATTGGTGAAGGTTTACGTATTCACAAAGTTTTGATCATTTGTCTTTTGATGGTATTGGTACCAAAACTCTAGTTAACAAAGCCTAGGTATAGATAAACATAGCACTGATGGCGGTTATGGCTTATTTTTGAGAATTGGACTCGATGATATATAAACATAGCACTGATGGCTTATCTTTTGTCCAAGGATGGGAACTCCATTTAATTAAGCCTATGGATAAACTTAGCACTGATGGTGCTTAGTGTATTGGTTGATAACGCGTCAAAGACAAGAAGATATAAATTTCTACAAATCTATGATATGGAAAAGTAGCATACATAATGGTGATAGACAGAGTTACCCACATCTCATCATAAAATCATAATATAACAATGAACGTCGATGTTCCTTGTACTGACTAGGCAGGGGCTGGCATGGCCAGATGCAGAGAAGTTGACCGGAACGAAGGAGAATTTCGTCGGTTTTGAGCTGTTGCTCGTAATTCAAATTTTCGTCTCCCTGAAAATGAACAAAAATGCTCAGGAAAACATTGCATAAAGCCCATAATTTTACTTTATTTTCATAATTCAATTAGACTTTTTGAATGCTTTGACAGGTCATGCATCAAAATTTGACGGCATGAGCAATATGTTAGGAAAAGAATCTAAACAGGAACAAAAATATTGGTTACAATGATATTGCTACCAAAATATATTCCGGCTGTGAGGGGATCTACCTCTAACTCTACATCAAGTAGATAAGGACATGAAAATCAATACTTTGGCACTTAATCAAACTTATAGATTTTATTTCACTTTCACATTTTTTATTTCACTTAATCAAACTGTGAATAGATTCTTAGATAGCTAATAAAGATCAAAGAGTAAGTCGGAGAAGCGTGAACACTTTCTACAATTAAGAGCAAAAAGCCTTGGAATATTATCTCCCTTAACAACTTGAGTACAATTGGGGCCCTAGAAAATGTTATGTGAGCTTTGTATGAAATGTTCACACACTGTCAGCAAATAAAAACTCTTCTAAGACTGAGACATCTCATTTAACTACCGATTTCTTCCTGCATAATGTAGCAAAGAGTTAAAGGAAAGAATTATTGTTAGCATTTTATTGCAACATAATAACACACCAAAGAATGATTGGCAGAATAATCATAGTTTCCTTTACCCAGATACAGTGGAGAAGGTGACGGAATAAGCTATATTTTTTGCAGTTATAAATAATGCCTGGAATGGAATGCGGTATGTTGTTATAAATAAAATGATATGCAACTTCAGTCTTTTGTTAATTTTTTTTCTTCATTTGACTGGTTTCACTTTGGTTTGTTTTTATTAAGTTTAAAAAGCATACTCACCGTGAGTTTTCCTGGCTCCTCTTGGAGTTACCAAGTCATCACTCAACATGGAAATTCCTGCACAAATGAATACCTTGATTGAAATACAATTTGTTGATCAAATAGGGGATATTTTATTTTATATAATATACATTTTATACTAATAAAGTAAATCATTATTGTTACTTATAAAACAAACTGTCCTTACGACTTTCAAATAGTCTTTCTTGCAATAAGTGCTTTGAATTGTTTCTCATCGCATCATTAACATATAAACAATGTTGAGTCAAGGGTTGGATGTAAAACACTTCTACATAGAATTGCTATATTTCAGATATGAAACTAGTTCCCACTTGACAGAGCTCTCTACTAATTCCCTCTGATTCATGTGTACCAGCTGGATTGCTCACAGCAGCTGGAGGTGGTGAGTAGCTGCGTCTGTAGACAGGATCTGACTCCAATCGGGCTATATATGCACAAATAAAATTACATTCAACTAAAAAATTACAAAACAGATTAATCAAGGCTTGTCTTGTGTAATTACAGTGGAAGCCACATAATCTTGCATTCAACTGCAGGCTACTATCTGATAAAAACAGGAAAAAAAAAAACATTCCTACACAGATACCATCCAAGATGTCTGATGAACAGTAGTACAATAGACATAATAAACCTATACATTTTCTATCAAATTACTATGATTAATTATTTTTATGAATTACTACTTAATAATTACAACAGATTTTAACACAGACATACCTTTCTTGGCTTTGAATGCATAAAAATTGATGGCTGAAGCTCGTTGACGTCTAATTGGCCCATACCTACTGCATCCTGCGCTCAGTTAGTTTGTAGTTATCTGTAGCATGGCAAAACAATGAGATATAATTGAACAATTATATCATTATAAATAAAATTATCCAAAACAACAATTGTCTTTCAAATAGAGTTGTATATATTGATCACTGTATGAATAATTGCATGATTTTGCATAATTTTTCAAAGTTCACAGTACCAAATAACTGAAAGTTTGGGAAAATTCATTGAATAAGGTTTGCCATAGGTATGTCTTTCTAACCTGAAGTCTCAGCAATCCGCTGTACAGTGAATGACCGCCAGCTTGTCTGCACTGGAATGCCGAGTTTAGCTTGAGCAACCACATCTCCATCTGGCATGTAAGCTTCAACTTCTGAGTTTACTTCATGAAGCCAAATTCTAGGAACAACTTCCCAATATTCTTGACAGAAAAAAATACCTACAAATGATTTTGTTTCAGCAAGTTCCATGTTATTCCAAATATATATTAAAGGCCTGGAAAGAAATTCAATTTAATCAGCAGTTACAAACACACTTAGACTCGTGACAACATGATATCTCAATATTTTTAAACAATATTTTACACAAGAGCTGAAACAATTTATGCTTTTTCCTCATATTCTTGACATTATTTCTTGAGAAACCTTTACAAAGACTTATCTTTTTTATCTACCGTGAAACGGGGTAATAAGGGATGGGCAGGGTAATAAGGAACAGTCCTCCAACATTTCGTAGAAATGTTGTAGCAGCTAAACTAATTAAAATATTGCAAAACAAAAAAAAATGGGGGCATAAAGTTCAACGCTTTTACAGCAATCCCTTGATTAGCACGGTTTTGAATACCGCGGTTCTGATTAACGCGGAAAAAATATTTGCGACCTACCCTTAATCTACGCGGTGCCAGTTTTGATTAGCGCGACTTTTTTTCACAATGCATCATTTTCCCGCCTCTAGCCAGAGGTGTTACGTTCGTAATAAAAGTGTTACTTTTTGCTTATTAGATCTTATGTTGTTACTTTTGTTACGACTTTTGGAAAAATTTGCCAAATGTTGTTACGTTATGAAGTTCAGTCAATAATTCTTTAAATAAGGTCCCGTTCCGTAGGCAATCGTGCTAACTACAGAGTCGGTTTAACCGCGCCTTGTCTCGTTCATAACTCGAATGATCGAGTTCGGCAACGTTCGCCGGTAAGTGCGCCATGCCGGTGCTCTAGCCCTTTAAGCCCTGGTGTGACGAATTCGTCACACAGAAAATAAAAGCTTCTACCGAGAGTAATTACATGTTTGGAGTCTAGCCGCAAGTGTGACAGTAGCGTCACATGTTGTGAACTCGTTCGAACGACGTTCGATGGAGTAGGCGCACCGCTACTGCCAGTACAACACAAAGACTGCGCGTGATCTGAAAAGTAATTCAGATTTTTTTTCACTTTTGAAACATAATTCAGTGCGTAAAGGGCTAGTTACTCGTTAGCCTTCAACTGGTCAAGATTGCTGCCATATCTACTGCTCACTTTTATCAAACTAAATAATTTTCCTTTCCTTTGCTATTTTTGAGGATTCATTATAATTATTCCCATATATTCTTAAGTTTGATTAGCGCGGTTTTGCTTAACACGGTAAAACTCGGGGATTTATTAACCGCGCTAATCAAGGGATTGCTGTACTATCTATATAGCATAAAGCAAGGCAAAAAATCATACATTTACTATCTCTAAAAAAATCCTTGAAAAAAGCGTGAAAATTGAGATTTTGGGAAAGTACCGTCAACCAGGGCTACTCGGGACGGGCGGGATAACTCAGGACAGTCCTCTGACACGGCGTAAAACTGTTTTAGTAGCAAAACTAATTGGAATATTGCAAAAGTAAATATAGTGGCGCAAACCTCAACATTTTTCCTATCTATGTAGTATAAAGGAAGTTCAAAAATACTACATATACTACTGGTAGCTTTGAAAAATTCCTGAAAAAAAAATGATGAAAAACAATATTTTGAAAAGTTACTTCTGCTAAGGTCTGTACTAAAAAAAATATTTGCCCTATTAAAAATTTTGCCTAGAAAAAAGTGGCAGACAAGTGTCAGCATGAAAACTTCATTTGCGGAATTTACATACCTCAATCCCCAAAAAAACAGCAGCCATTTACACAGGGCGGGGCTACTCGGGACACCCCCCCGGGGCTATTCGGGACACCCCCAAAAACGCATTTACAGTAGAACCTCAGTTAGCACCTCAGTTAGCAAAGGCTCCAGTTACAAAAAAAAAAACATTAAAAACAAAGAATATTAATTACATTTACCTCGCTCAGCAAAAAAAATTTCACTTATCAAAAAATTAGTGCATCATCGGTCATCACAAAATTGTGCATAGAATGTCATATATAGAATTGTGCACCATGCATCATAGAATGAAAAGTCATTGACCTAAACTATGATTTATTTCTACAAAACATATGATAGTTGTCACTAAAACATTCCTTTCTGTTTCAGGTAGGTATGTTTTTCACAATCTTTTTTTATAGTAAATTCACTTAACCCAATTAAAATGGTGTGAAATTACAAGCCGTCCTGTAAGCTTACAGATACAGAAAAAATGCTATAGGGCTGCTGATATGAAGCTTGCAGTGGACAAGGTTGTTGTAAATGCTCAATGGCATGTTCATGGATACGGAAATATTGCATCAATGATACGGTAATTAATATATAGGGTAATATCATATCAATAAAAGAAAAACAAGTAAAAATCACAGAAAATGTCATTTATTCTACCTCCACTTCATCTACAATGAAAGAGGAGGACTTCAGAGTACTGTTAGTAATGGATGAGTACACTCTGCATGCTTCAAATGTTTTAAAACGAAGTTTTATTCCAAGTGTCCTCAGTAGCCCCATTTGACGGGGCTACTTGGGACACTCTTATTTTGCTTCTGGCACCTCACGAATAGCATATGGAATTTTTTTAGAGAAGCCATGTGATAGCCCTTGCAAAGAGCTTTGAAATGAGCCTAAACTTGTTTACAAAATGTTTCATGATAAGAAATTATGAATGAAAAAGGTTTGAAATTGTCCCAAGTAGCACCGGTTGACGGTACGTCTGCTACGGTCTGTAGCAAAAAAAAAATTCACCGTATTCTTCACCATAAATATTCACCGTATAAAAAAAATTTTCACCGTATTGCAACTTTAATGTGATTGAAGCCAACAAAAAGTTGGCCTAAAAATGTGATTGACGGAATTAGCATATCTCATTCCAGAAAAAAATGGCAGCCATTTTTGCAGGACAGGGTAATAAGGGACACCCCCTCCTGGGGTAATAAGGAGCACCCATAAAAATGCATTCACAGTAGAGCCTTGGTTAGCAAGGGCTCCAGTTAACAAAAACAAAATCAATTAACAATAAATCATTTTTATTACATTTATCTTGCTCAGCAAAAAAATTTCATGTGACAAAAAAATAGTCCATCATCGGTCATCGCCAAACTGTGCATGGAATGTCAAAGATAGAATTGTTCACCAGGCAACAGAGAATGAAAAGTAATTAACCTCATCTATGATTTTTTTCTCAAAAAATATGATGATTGTCACTAAAATATTCCTTTGTGTTTCAGGTATGTTTTTTACAATCATTTTTAGCTACTATAGTGAATTCACTTGACTCAATTAAAATGGTGCAAAATTACAAGCTGTCCTGTAAGCTTACCTACAGAATAAATTATACATGGCTGCTAATATGAAGCTTGCAGTGGACAAGGTGACAAGGTCGTTGTCAATGCTCAATGGCTTGTCCATGGATTAGGTAATACTGTATCACATCAATAATACGGTACTGTATGGACAAGGTAATATCATATCAAAAAAGGAAAAATAAGTAAAAAATCACAGAAAATGTCATTTATTCTATATTTACATCATCTACAAAGGAAGAGGAAGACTTCAGAGTACTGTTAGTAATGAATGCGCACACTCTGCATGCTTCAAATGTTTTAAAATTTAGTTTTATTTCAAGTGTCCCTTATTATCCCATTCCCAGGGTTGGTTCAGGAGGCTTTTATTTTGTGTCTGGCATCTTACAAAAAATCCTAGCATATGGAATTTTTTCAGAGATGCCATACAATAGCCCTTGCAAATACCTTCAAAATGAGCCCAAACTTGTTTATGAAATGTTTCATAGAAGCTATTAAGGAAAAATGCTCAAAACCGTCCCTCATTACCCTGTTTGACGGTAACAATTCTTTGAAGACGTGCAATTTTTGCAGTGGAATGTAGGACAGCCCCAAGATATGGTATATAATAAAATAATTTCAAGTAGTCAATTCATACTAAATCTCACTGAATATTTTTCACATTGTCACAGTTTAAAAGTAACATTGAAAAACTGCAATGATGCATTATAATCAAAAAACCTATAAAAAGGCAGGCAATTTCTCTCTGGCATATGTCTCTCAAGATTTCAAATACTCTGTGATCAATTACCAAATTTTCTGTAAAATCAGTCCAATCAAATTCTGTTCATGGCAAAATCAATTGACTGGATGCTACAAAAATCATTAGAGTTATATGATTTTTTCTTTATTCCATCTACTTTGTGCCATCACTGCCATGTGTATTAGAATGTGTACCGTCAATCAGGGCTACTCGGGACGATTTCGAACGTTTTTCATTCATAACTTCTTACCATGAAACATTTCATAAACAAATTTAGGCTAATTTCAAAGCTCTTTGCAAGGACTATCACATGGCTTCTCCAAAAAAATTCCATATGCTATTTGTAAGGTGCCAGAAGCAAAAAACGAGTGTCCCGAGCAGCCCCATCGAACGGGGCTACTTGGGACACTTGGAATTAAACTTAATTTTAAAACATTTGAAGCATGCAGAGTGTACTCATCCATTACTAACAGTACTCTGAAGTCCTCCTCTTTCATCGTAGATGATGTAGAGGTAGAATAACTGACATTTTCTGTGATTTTTACTTGTTTTTCCTTTATTGATATGATATTACCATATACATTAATTACCGTATTATTGATGCGACATTACCGTATCCATGAACAGGCCATTTAGCATTTACAACAACCTTGTCCACTGCAAGCTTCATATCAGCAGCCTTATAGCATTTTTTCTGTATCTGTAAGCTTACAGGAAGGCTTGTAATTTCACACCATTTTAATTGGGTTAAGTGAATGCTCTGTCTGACTGACACAGTCTGTCAGTCAGACAGAGCAGAAAGAAATATATGAATTTTGAAGATTACCTATTTGAAACTGTAAAGATGAGAAGAATCCTCAAGGGTATTGGTCAAACCATCAGAGTGGAGGCTGGAAGGGTAAGAATAAATAAGTAATGATACAGATAATAGCAATAATAATTAATAAATATTAAAATAATCAAATACGTTGTGAATATGGCAGTATGCCCAAAAGCCAAAACCAGTACATATTAATATAAAGTCTCAAATTGCATCACAAAATTGCAATATATGTGCATGATACTCATTTTTGGTG